CTGCTAGGTGTTTGCATTGGTGAGATAGATGGGAAATAATCAGTGACATCAGATATCTCATAGTCTTATTTTGAAGAAAAATACTTAGAAACAATAACCATGAACAAATCTATAATCTGCCACAGAATTTGGAGAAGTCAGAAAAGTTGTAGGAAAAGAAAAGACAGTATATAGTTGAAGGATAATCATGTGTTTGCCAGGCAGAAGATTGAGGGGATTTTATGAAAAAGCGTGTGTGAAATGTGTCCAATCATGTCCACGGAATGCTGTGAAGAATAACAAAAATAATGGTGTGAATAGAATATAAGAGGCCTGAGAAAGAATGGTGGAAAATGTTCTCAGAGAGAGGCATTCTGGTCAGTCTTTGGAGGACTTTGCATGCCTCTGGCCTCACTGTGGCCGGGACCACAGAGGCCCTGGAGAGAAGTTCGGCAGAATGTTAGAAGCAGAGGCTAGTGTGAAATGGGAATAGGCATGAAGCAGGTGCCGTCTGTGTTTTGAAGAAGTTTAATAGTAAATTTTTTTTTCAGTAGGCAAAAAGGGATACTGCTTGAAGGAAAGTTTAAACAGCAAAAGTAACTTTTTTTCTTGGGTATAAGTTAAGAAAATTGAGTGAGATTGCAGGCACGGGACTTTGAAATATTGGGAAAATAAATGGGAAATAAAACCAAGAGACAATTCTAGATAGGACAAGACCCAAAAGGTGGGATATAATATAGTGTAAGGTAGAGAGGTTAGCTGTGAGGAAGGAGCAGTCATGCTGCTTCTGCTAAGATATGACAGTGTTGGGATAAGTGCAGTTATTTGACTGTGTCTGCCATTAGAGTAGAAGAAAAATTTCCCTCTCCACAAAACATGCTATCTCAATTTTCTTTAACCAGAAGATACATTTGATGGAACTTATGTCCTTTTTTATCCCCTATTAATGTACACGGTAAGATATTTACTCTATACTTAAAAATAATTTAAACATTCAGAAGTATACAGGTGAATCCCATTATCCTTGCATTATCCTGGAAGCATTATTTGTAAAATAAGATTTAGTGTAAGAAATGAAACCCATTTCTGCTAATTGGTCAAGGCTTATACATAATTTAAAAGTATAAATACTAGCCTCATGGGTTGATATAATTTAGGTCACCCAATGATGGAGTTTTTCTTTTTAGGTTGTTACATTTTCAATTTTGCTATCTTGCTTAGGTCACCTACATTTAGATTTAAGGGACAGGGAATGTTTTCTGAATGTGCATGTTGCTGAAAGGTGAGGTGACATTCTCACAAGGACTACCATGCTTGCTAAAAGTTTTTAATGTCTTTGTATAATTTTGAAATTTGTCCTGCACTACCTGGTCACCTCGCCCCTGTCCCAGGTCCCTCCCAACTCCTTATGATTCAGTCACTACAGAGGTAATGCCAGGTTTACCAGAGAACCTCCAGTCATGCTCCTTTTTGTGACTCGTTTATAATCTCTGGCTGTGAAATGTTCAAATGCCTGAAAGTCTTCAGGCATTATCATTTAATTGAAGTCTTCAGTCTTATCATTTAATTGAAGGCAACATTGCCATATTCTCAAGAATTCATGAAGCCCCCATTATCCCACGCTTCTCACGCTGGTGGACGGGTAGAAGCAGTAATCAGAGTCGCTGTTCTGTCCATTTACAGGATGGACAGAATCTGTAAGGAGCTTCATGGGATACAAATATTTTCACTGCACAAATGATCATTGGAAATTAGAATAGAGTAATCCCCAAAGTAACAGTACATGAAATATCCATATTGCCTGGCTTTTGAGAGAATTTTGTTTGAGGCAGGCATTGCTATTTCTCAGACAGCCCTGTCTGTCTCCCCATTTTCCAGAAAGAACAACAAAATACTGATTTTAGCAGTTTTCCAACTGAAATATCCTAGCACTGTTCAAAGAGGTCTGAAATATTTATTCCCTCAACTGTGAGGCTAATTACCAGGGCCTCGGGCCACCTCTAAAAATATTCTTTGCTGTTTACTCCAGTGTATCTTGCAAATATTATGATTGTCTTAATGTGTATTGACATGAAAATTTGAGAAGGGCTGGTTAAGGTACAGTTCATCCAGTCATGATCCAGCTGTCTCATGAGTTACCCAATAGTCCTGGCAACCAAGACAAGAGTATATCAAAGATGATAAAGACTATAGTAGCTAGTCTATAAAGAAACCAACTAACTCTTTAGTTCTCCCGGACTAATTTCTCTCTTGTCTCTAAACTTTACCACTAGGAATAATCTAATAACTCTATACATTGTCTTTGCAAAATAAACACACTTTTTCCTGTTTTCTCAAAATTTATAAGTAGCTGAGCCTTTCTTCTGGCCACCAGATGTGTATTTTACTCCTGCTATCATTATCATGTTCCTCAGTTACCTGGCAATCTTAACAGTGAAAAATCATACTTCCATTTGAGTCAACACATGAATCACTTTTTAAAGAATCTTGCTGCTCGTGAGAACTGCTGAGTCATTTTTTGTTTTCTAACTGATGCTTCTAAAATCTCTCAGTTTTATGAAGTGTTTTCTCTGTGGGTAACTTTTAGAACTTTTACAGAAATGTCTGAATATAACTGGCCTAAACATCTCTTGGAAATTCATGCAAGGATGCATGTTTTAAAATTTTTATGAATCAGCCAAGTAATTTTAAAAAGCTACTTTATGATGTTGGTCATAGAAGTTTATAGCTTTTTAATATTAATTTATGTGTCTTTAAAATTCATTTTTAAATGCATTTATGTTACTATTGTAAATATAAGATTAAATAACTAGAAAGGCTCAGTGAAAACTCTTTCACTTACTCTTATTCCTGTAATTTGTATTCAAATTTGTATATTTGTACTTTGTTAATATATATGCACACATATATATAAAATATATTTGGAAATAAAGATATATTTTAAAAATATTGATCCTCAAGTTATATCAGCATGTTACAGAAAATGAGTTGTGCATTTGGGGTGACAGGTGTTTGACATTTAATAGCCTTGTTTAGTAGTAATTATATAAATACACATGAAATTTACAGAGAGATCTGTTAAACAATTCAGCTAGCGAAGCTACAGCGTGAAAATTTGTTTATATCCCCCAAAATGCAAAAGGTTAAGAGAAAGCTGTTTTAGCATCAAACAAAATGATTTACACCTATAATTCCTATTTGATAAAGTATTTCAAAATTATATTTAACTTTTGACAAGTCTAGTTTGTTTTTTCGCTTGTATGATACTTTTGTTTTCTTTTGTTTGTTTTCTAATTTTATCACATTGCAATCGTCTGCAATTCTCATAATTTTGCATATCCTAAAATATGTTAGATTGGCCTTTTAATTATTATTTTTTTTTTTACCTCAACTAAGTAAAGAAAGTAAAACATGAAATTTTTGAACTTTCTTTTTTTCAGGAGGAAGAAAGGGACTTACAACAGAAAAGAGAGTTTTGAGAGTTTTGAGATATAACTATTTACCAAAAAGCAACTTACCTTCTTAGAACATTTTTTACTTAACTATGATAATAACACCAAACACTTATTAAGTGTTTGCCAGACAGTGTTTAAGAGCTTTTGATAGAATCCTCACTACAACCCTGTGAAATACAGACGTGATATACAGCTTGCCCAGGCCATTCAGCTCATGAATAGTGGGGCCAGCATTTAGACCCAGAAATCTGGCTCCACAGTCTGTTAAGCACTCTGCTATGCTGCATTTATTTATGTAACTAATGCATATTGAATTCCTACTCAGCCTGCATTGCAGTGCTCAGAGCTTTCCTGTCTCTTATACACATCTAGATGTGTATAAGAGACAGAACTAATGCATATTGAATTCCTACTCAGCCTGCATTGCAGTGCTCAGAGCTTTGTAGTGAATAACTGTTGACATTCACAACAACCCTATGAGGTAGGCTCTTTTGATAGTTTCATTTTATACATGAGAAAACTAATAATTATTTGATTAAATCAATTAATGTCCCATGGACTCAGCAGAGTTCTGATTAAAACCTAAGTGTATCTGACTATAGAATCAAGGCTGCGGCAATAATCTATGTCGGATTAAATATAAGATAGTAGTCATATTGGAATTATTACACTTTGGATTTGGGAAAGCTGGATAAGATGAAGAAGAATCATATTTTGATTTGGAAAGTGCTTGTAGAAGTATAGATAGGATTTGGGAATTGAGAGCCTGACATTCAGATAAAATAACATACAATTTGGATGCTTGATAAATATTTGGAATGGGTAAACTGAGAAAAGACCATATGTTCTGATTTAAGCTTATCTTAAAAACACAAAGGGTGATTATACAAAGTAGTTATCACTGGTGTTTAAAAAAATGAGTATGTTCTTTTTTTCACTTCCTGTTATTTAGCAAATTTTATTCCATTGTAGTTGCTCAGTAAAAGATTTTTAAACAATAGAAGTCATACATAATACATACATAAATCATACATAAATACATTTATAACTTCATATTCTTAAAGAACAGACTAAAAATAATATAACCTTTAGATTGGCATAACTTCACTTAAACGCCACTGAAACAGTTTTGTTCATGTTACCTGATGTAATTTTAACAAGAGGACCTGCACAGAACCATTATCCATAGTTCACAGCTGAAGAAATTGAGATTCAAGAAGTTTAAGTACATTGCCTAACTTATCTAGGGATATGAGATGACACAATGACTCATATCAACCCTCAGATTTTAAATCCATACTATTTTAATGTTCAGAAAGAATATTTATGTTTTTAATGCATTATTTGAAAAAATACATGTTTCCTTTTCTATGGGGCTTTTAAAACTTAGGTGTTTAATCACATAGGCTAACTTCAATGTCTCTGAGAACAAGAGCAGCACTCTTCTCTCACAGTATTTTCTATAGCTTTGTTTTGTAAAACAATGCTAGTAATTACTTGTGCTTAACAGTTTTACCATTTTAAAAAGCTAACACATAATTCTATTCTTTTTTACATTTTTTTCAGGTCCTGAGGAGGTAGAAATCAAGTGCCCCTTGAATCACATTGCTTGCCTTGGTACCAACAAATGTGTTCATTTATCCCAACTGTGCAATGGTGTCTTGGACTGCCCAGACGGGTATGACGAAGGAGTACATTGTCAGGGTGAGTCCATTCATGGAACAATGCAACTGAAATATTAAATTTTGCGTAGTAATGAAAGTTCAAAAAGAAAACCTAGAACCTGCCTTTTCTTTCAACCATAAGCGTATCAGTTATTAAGAAAGCATGAATTTTATTGCCAGACATTTAATATGCATTTCAAAGTTGCAAGTATTATGTTTGAGCAAAAAAACACCATTAGACAACCCACACACACACACACACATACACACACACATTTAGACTTTGAAGTTGGGCTCTTAAACAATTACATGTTTCATATAAAAAAGTACTTTTGATCAAAAGGCAAACGGGAAGTCTTTTTCACAGCAGATTGATATCACATGGTGTTACAAACTTGTTTCTCTGAACCTTTGCTTAAAGTATTTGAAGGAATGCTTCAGCAACCAAGTATTTTAGTAAGAAATATCCATGGGAAATTTTTTCCTTTATAATCTTTCCATAATATTAGACTATTAACTTTCTTGTAATTTTCTGTCTTTTTAAAAATCAACATCTAAATTCCACAGTGGTAAAATATGACCTAGATATTAATGATAAGAGTGATAATAATTAAAATCTAAAAAGTAATAAAACGTTAATAAAACTAGCACATTCTAGTAGGGGTGGAGTAGGGGGAAATGAAACACGAGATAAAGAGAAATAACAGCAGAAGGAAAAGTCAAACATTCAGGTAAGAACCCAGATTTGGGAACAGAATCAAGGTATCAGTCAAGTGAATCAGACTGCAAGATGGAGCTGGGAAAGAAATAACTGTACTAGAAGTCTCTAACTCAGATTCTCATAGACTGAGTGTAACACAAAGGATATTGAAGCTAGGATTTCAATGAGAACCTGTCCTTCATTTGGGGGTCGGTAAGACCCTATAGAATAGAAGAAAAGATAGAAAACTGGAGATAACATATCTGGTTTCTGGGTAGCTTCACACAAACTAATTGCTGTCATGCAGGAAGAGGTCCCGGGTCACCAGAAATTCCAGTTGTTCAGGAGGAGTGCCATATATGTATACATTTAAAGTGCTCAAAGTCAGATACTATTTTTTAAAATATGGTATCGTCAATAACATGCCCAAGCAAAACCTGTCTGGGGGCCTGACAGGGCTTGTTGGCTGACAGTTTTCCAGGTCTGGGGTGAAGTAAGCTGAATTCAAGACCATAAATGGAGATATATATTAGAAAAAGCATAAATCTCAGGACAATAACCTGAAGATGTAAGAATGTTGAGAGACCACAGGTAGGCTGTGGAAATCAACTTGGTCACTAGGTCTTTTCCCTCTTTCTAAAGGTTTTTTCCCTCTTTCTAAATGTCCAATTACTCTGACTCTGTGGATAAATTCTGACTGGGAATTTAAAGATCTTCAGAAGATTCCTTCTTTGGCCTGAGTTTCCTTTCTTAGCATTAAAGTTACATAAACAATCAGCAGATTCTTAGTTGCAGTTATGAATACATATATAATAATAATGAATAAGCGATTTTATTTTTATGTAAAGGCTTTGTGATATCTTTCATGTAATTGTATATAAAAAAGTGATATGAAAAGAAGGTAGGCCGGATGCGGTGGCTCACTCCTGTAATCCCAGCACTTTGGGAGGCCGAGGTGGGCAGATCACCCAAGGTCAGGAGTTTGAGACCAGCAGGCCAACATGGTGAAACCCTGTCTCTACTAAAAATACAAAAAGTTAGCCTGGCATGGTGGCAGGTGACTGTATTCCCAGCTACTTGGGAGGCTGAGACAGGAGAATTGCTTGAACCCAGGAGGCAGAGGTTGCTGTAGAGATTATGCCATTACACTCCAGCCTGGGTGGAGTGAAACTCCATCCAAGAAAGAAAGAGAGAGAGAGAGAAAGAGAGAGAGAGAGATGGAGGGAGTGAGGGGGAGAGGGGAGGGAGGGAGGGAGGAAGGAAACTGAATTATAAAGTGTAATTTTCTTTTTGGATATTAATTATATTTTCTAGATACTAATTTTATTCAACTCAGTCATAATTCAGGCTTTTGATTATATTGTTTTTGAATTTTCAGATAGATATGTATGACTAAGCTTTTAAAAGAACAAAACCATCACCTTTTCAAATATATTTCTTCAGAGGTGATTACGCAAACATGAGCAATGAAAATACATTCTATAAAATACAAGGCCTCTCAATCCAGAAAATTTCCACAGAAATGCACACAACTGTATAAAGAATGATGGAAGCAGTGAACAACTTTGACAAATAGAAACAAGATGGACTAAGATGTATCAAAACGCTGTTTTAAATTTGACATTCTTAAGATAATTTATGATGTTAATGAAACAGGAGTTCCCAGACTCCCCTCGCAGGATGTGCGACAGGGTTGTGGCTCATCTGTCTGGCTGCCATGGGCTCAAACCCCTTCCAGGAATAGGAGCATGCAGACAGGTAGGTGCAGGAGCTGGGGCCAGCACTTTTGGGCTCTGGCCCCACGCCCACTCCCAAAGCATGTTATAATGCTCTTTTAGCTGTGCCAGCTGCAGATGGCTTAAGTGTTAACCAGCTCAGTGCCCTCTTAGTACCCAGGTTCCTGTCTGTGTCCAGGAAGAGTCAGGTCACACAGGGAAATTGAAGGATGGTAAATGCAGAAGATTTTATTGTTGGATGGAGGTGGTTCTCAGTGGAATGGATGAGAAGCTGGAAAGGAGATGGTGTGGGGAGATGATCTTCCCTTGGAGTCTAGCTGTCCTGTGGCTGATATCCTCTGTGACCATCCCCAGCCGCACTTGTCTGGACATTCAGATGCTCCTTTGATTCTCTCCTTCTCTGCTGCACCGCTCTTTCGCTCTGCTGCTTTTCTGCATCTCTGTTCTTCTCTTTGTGGAGCCCGAGGTTTGGGGTTTTTATGGGTACAGGACAAGGAGGTGTGGCAGGCCAAGGACAACATCTGAGTGTGAAAACAGGAATGCCTGTTCCCATTTAGGGCCGTGGGTTTCCAGGCTTGAGGGCGGGGCCTTTGCTGGGGAATTGCTCTCTTCTACCCAGGATTTCCCTGCCTCCTGTCAGTATCATATTATTAACATTTAAAGTGAGTCTAAGCAAGAGAAGCCTTCTTTTTATTAACATCCCTGTTATATTACATTTGTGGTGCCAAGTGGTAAGTTGTTTATTTACTTAGACAGAGTCTTGCTCTGTTGCCCACGCTAGACTGCAGTGGCATGATCTCAGCTTACAGCAACCTCCCCCTCCTAGGTTTAAATGATTCTCCCGCTTCGGCATCCCAAGTAGCTGGGATTATAGGCCTCTGCCACCAGCTAATTTTTGTATTTTTAGCATAGCCGGGGTTTCACCATGTTGGCCAGGCTGGTCTCAAACTCCTGATATAAAGTGATCCACCCAACTTGCCTCCCACAGTGCTAGGATTACAGGCGTGAGCGCCTGGCCCCCAGGTGGTAATATATTTAAATATCCATGGGAATGACAGTCTCTGTGGCAGCATCTGCTCTTATCCTTTTAAAAGAATATGGAAAGTTCTGAGGTCAATGAAAAAAGGAATTTTATTTTTCATGTCACTAGCAAAAGTGATTATTCAATCTATGTGGTTGTTTTCTAGCAAACATTCTGAAGTTCTTTTAAATCTAAGACGATAACGTGTGTGAAGATGTTACTAAAACTGATTGGAGAAAAAAACTCTCTGACATATGAAAAGCTCACCCCAAAACATACAAATACATACACACATACTCATCTTTTCTCATATTTTGTTTTTCTATTCTGAACATTTTCCTGTGTGATTCTTAGTATATGACATAATTAATTGGCATATTTGATCAGGAAACTACAAAAGAATAAGATCCCCTTATATATCACCCAACTCCTTAAAATAATGCATACTCAAACTTTTAAATTCCATTTGATTATTTTACCTTACTTTCCAGTTGGAATATAACTTTCCTAATATGTGCAATTGCATTTTTTCTTAATCCACTCATAATCTATTGTCAGTAATTCTAATGTATTTAATTTAGATGGCAACTTCTGTTATTTAAAATTTTATGTAGCTGGTTGTTTACTTTATATTTCTATCCATAAAACTAAACTCTTACGAGAAAGTGCTGAAAAAATCCTGGGGGTGATTTAGAACTTAGAGGCATTCTCAAAATGGACCAAGGTAAATGGTAGCCTTTGTTATCTGTAATGACTCACCATGGGAAAATTAATACTTCTTCAAACTTCTTGTTTAAATATTGTAGGTTTTCCAAATTATCTAAAATAGAATTAACCTAGAGGTTTTTCAAGGCTCCATTTTTTTTTTTTTTTTGTCTTCCAGACAGGAAAAATGTATCTGTGTTATTGTTTTGTTAAAAATCCTCTTCCAGCTACTACTATGGAAAAAGGAAGGGAGGAAGGGAGGAAAGGAAGGGAGGGAAAGAGGGAAGACAGGAAGGAAGGGAGGAAAAGAAGGGAGGGAGGGAGGGAGGGAGGGAGGGAGGAAGGAAGGAAGGAAGGAAGGAAGGAAGGAAGGAAGGAAGGAAGGAAGGAAGGAAGGAAGGAGTTTAGTGAAGCTATTGAAGAAGAAAAATGAATTTTCAGCTCTTTATTGTTTTGAATTTTACTTTATTTTGTCAATTAATTTTGTCATAGCCTCATTTAAAAAATTTCATTAAAATATTGCCAATATTTTTCTAATTTAAAATCATACTATAGAGTGGAATTTCAGCACGCAGAATTCCAAAACAAAAGTAAGGAGAAGAGGTGCAATTGCAATGTTATAGTAAGTGTATCTGTCATCAACACTGATCTTAAAGCACAGGGAGGGTGGTTCTCGGTGGAATGGATGAGAAGCTGGAATCCCTGTGCTAAAGTGTCTTGAAACATCAATAAGCCTACAGCTAAGAAACAAAGAAGTGGAATTAGCCAGGAAGACCTAGGTTTGGGAGCTGAGAACACTTTTGATTAGTAAAGCTCTTACAATTTAAGAGTAGATCCTGCTGTATTTTCTCTGCGTTGAGTTGTGCTAAGGTGATCAG